AGATCATTTAAGTGAGCCCACTAACCCTAGTAGGTAATTACTCACTTAACCCACTCATTAACTCTCTTCCTAACTTAACTTAGGCATTTTTATTGTCGTTATAATTTCATAAGATTGATGGAATAATATTCACTAATTTATTTCAAGATTCCGGGGAAATTTTTGCTTACACGCAATTTAACCCAAAATGACACTATTCACACTTTTCTCAAAAAGGTGCTTTAATTTAAGATAATTAGATTTTTCATCTAATAATTCTCATGTAATTATTATTAACTTTCTAAAATTTCTATTTAACGGTTTGAGTTCTTACAATTTGAATCCGAACTTAATTTAAGATAATTATTTTTAATGATCTAGCTCTTGCCAAAGAGATTTTAAATTTTAAATAATGGGCATATTCTGTAACAGTTTTTGGAACCTTGTTTTGCTACAATTATCTTGACTTATACCCCATATACTTGTGTTGTATTTGTAGCCTTGGAATATGTTTGTTCAATAGCATCCCAAGTGTCTTTTGCCGAAGAGAGAAACATGCATGTGTTACTTATTTTTGGAACCATGAAATTCCACAACCAAGCCATTATCATGGAATCCTCATCATCCCATACTGTGAACATTGGATCTTCAAGTCCAGGACCACCTCCTGTTAATGACAAACATTGCGTACTCATGATTTTAAGGATAAGATGCTTAGAGATGTAATGAAGTCCAATCACTAGGTTGCACTCATATGAGTGAGCATTATAATCTGGTCATAAGCTACCTAAGAAGGGTGTATATCAGACAAAGAAAGAACAGAGGCCACGCCACACACACAAAAAAAAGAGGGCAGGAAAAAAAATAGGGGCAAGAAAAAGAAGCCAGAAAAAAAGAAAAATAGAGGCAAGAAATAAGAAGAGTCCAAAAAACAAAAATAGAGGCAAGAAAGAAAAAACAGAACCCAGAAAAAAAAAATGCAAGAAAAAAAAAAAAAAAACAGAAGCAAAAAGCTTACCTGCAAATGCGAGAGAGAGTGAGAGAGCAAGGCTGAGGGAGACGTTTCGTTTTGTACAGAGGAAGAGCAGATGTGCGAGAGACATAGAGGAGAGAGTGAGACGTTTTGTTTAGTATAGAGGTAGAGACGGAGTGGGTTAGTGTTAAAACACAAAAAGACTATAATACCCTTAAAAGTTTTCTGTTACACATATAAAATAAGGGGGAAATTGTATTTTGCTTCGTGTCCACAACTAGCCCATGATTCAGCTGCGATTTTTCCGCAAATGCAGCCGCAATGGCTATTATTGCGTTCCGGTGCGATGCGGTGTGGGTTATAGCGGTGAGGAACTGCAACGTGCAAACGTGACTCGCGGCGCAATTGTCTATAGTGGGACAGACTGCTTACAAATTAGATTTAACTGCAAATTCCGGCATTCACCCCCTTTCCATGTCTCTTTGTTGAAAATGGCCCTGTCCACAAGCCATAGCCTCACCCTCTGCCCTCAATACTTTCCAAGGAATTGGAGCTTCTGGTGCAGCCTGAAGAGGTGTTGCACTATTGAGTCACTAGGGATGGAACTATGGAAGTATTGATTAAGTGGTTGCATCTGCTGGAATTTGAGAGCACTTGGGAATCTTCAGCTTTCATTCAACTTTCCCACATTCCACCTTGAGGACAAGGTGAATGTTTTGGATGGAAGTATTATAAGGAGACCTGTCCTACGGGCATACCATAGGAAGGGATGTGGAGGATCAAACCTCGATTAGTTAGAAAGAGTGTACTGTGTGTAGAATTGTAGGTCGTGGTAATTTGGACCACGTGTTATGTAACACCCCAAATTCTAACAATTTATAATAGCATAAATAAATTCAAGAATTATATAAATAACAGCAGAAGTTCAAAATAATCAAATTTGGGAAATGTTATCGCCGCGCTTGTACTATTGTCAAGCGCAAGGCTAGACTTTATTACATTAAAACAAAACTAAAACTAAAGTCAAGAAATAATTTAAATTTAAAAGCTTATTAAAAACACATCTTTAAATCCTAGAGCTAGCCAGAAAAGTCTGCTTCGTCATCCTCTTTCAGATAAAATGAGCCAATGCTGATCTTCATGTTCTCGGGACAATTTGTCACTTCATACAGCTTTTCCATGTCGCGAATCCAGTTTTCAAGAGCAACTGGATCGATAGTCCCTTTGTAAGTGGGTGGATGATGAGACGCCACTCTCTTAAAAATGGTATTCTCAGCATTAGCCTGATGGACATTTTGTTGTCCAAGTGCTAAAGCAAGATCTTCAATGGCCCTCAGACGTCGGTCCATTTCGTCAGCAGCAGCGTTGTTTGCAACCATTCTAGAATTATTATTTTGGAATAAATGGAAATAAAGAATAAATTTACTATTATGTGATTATGAAAAACTTTCCTAATATATGATTTGCAATTGAATTTGAAATTATGATACTTTCCAAATATGAGATTCATGATCATGAGATTTATGATTTAAAATTGTGATACCCTTTAAAGAAAATTTTCCAAATATATGATTTATGATTATGTGTGATTGTGATTAATTAATAGTAATCCTAATCCCTAGGTATTTTTAAATTATATTTTATGTGAAATTTGGTATGTGTAATCCTAATCCTTAGAAGTTTTAGGTTAATTTTATATGAATTTTGATAGGGTAATTATGATCCTAAATATATCATAGGGTTGTTTTATATAAAATATATTGTATGTAATCCTAATCACAAATAATTGTGTTGACCTGTATATATAATTACGTTTGTTATAAATTTGATTTTATTGGTAATTACTATCTGCATATATATATTCGATTACAAATGTTTTCTCAATTTGCTTTTGCCGAACTCGGTACTGCATGTATACACTTTGTTGCAAATTTCTTTCCTTTTCCTCGATTTCTGTGCAATTCTTTAATTGAATTCAAATTGTAATTGTCGTTGCTTTTATATATGTATATATTGTTCACAAAACAAAATTCTCCTTTCTCGATTTTTGCGCGTCACTTTCAATTAAATTAGATGTTCACCATCTGATTCGTTTCTTTCAATTTACTTATATTTGCAAATTAGTATGTTCTCGAGTTTTGCTTATGTGCATATGTTTGCAATTTTGTTTTTTTCGATTTACGTGATCAACCTATTTCAAATACATGTTTTCAGTTATATGAATTTAGTTCCAATTGTTCTTTTTGAATTATGTTCTTTACTCTATAAATTGAGGCACTAATATATATGTTATTTCTTATATATATATATATATATATATATATATATATGTTTTGGTAAATTGGAAATTAATTGTTCGCTGCAGAAAATAGATATTACATATATTTGAAATAAATTGGGAAATTTTGTTATGTCTGTATTTAAAAAAATTTAATAGTGGGAGGATAGCTTTGGGGTGGTACCTCCCAAAGTGATGAACACAACTTTTGGGCTTTATGCCTCCGATATATTTATACGATGTGAACAGATATTATCCGTTCTTTCCAAAGTGGTGTCTGGCAGGGTTTCCCAGGATACTAGTAGCAACTTTGGGAAGAGCTGTGCCCACTAGGAAGAGATGTTTTGATTATGGCCAATTTGATTATTTGTGACTGGCAGGGTTTCCCGGGTCACAGGGTAGACTGACAGGTTTCCCGAGTCTACCATGGTTCTCTTCCCACTAAATACAATGAACTTAAACATGAATAATAATGATATTTGATATTTGATTTGATTATGATAAATATCATTGAGTTGTGAATATTTTCATGTATGTAATATTATGATTAATGTTGTGCTGAATGTCTTAGTTGATGATTATCCTCACTAAATCCACTAAAGGAATTTAAAGATAATTTATAATAATATATTTAATATATATATATATATATATATATATATATATGAGATAAATATTGAAATTGTTATGTGATTACATTTTTGGTTTGATTATTATATTTGAATTATATAATTGTATTTTGATTAGGATTACTAGCTTTGCTGACTTTTGTGTTTGTTTGACTGCAATGATCTTTTCGGGGGAGTAGATTTTCAGTAAATCAGGTGGCAAGGAATCGGGCTAGCAGTAGGCAGTGAGGATACGACTCAGGATTTCTAGCTGTCATAAATATTATGTATTAAAAAAATCTGTAGTCTTAGATTTTTATTTGAATGTAATAGAATTAGCCTTGTACTTGTTCCTGTACAAGTGCTGCGGTAACATTTCCCCAAATTAGTTTTAGATTAGCTTCCGCAATAGACATAAGATCTTAATAAATAAATAAATATTATTTTTATTTTTTATTTTTTTGAAAATTTCTCTATTATAGGAATATTTTATTGTTGTTAAAATTGTTAGAAATTTGGGGGTGTTACATGTTACGCTGGAATTGCAACAGCAATGCTAAATATGGGAGGGGAATCATATTTTGGGGTAGGAAAGAATTTATATAGAACCTGTGGAGAGAACTCAGAGCCTCTCCAACTGCTCTGAGAGTGTTTTTGTTTTTTCTTCTGTAATCACACATACAAGACTGATATCTGGCTTTTTCACCCTTTTGCTCCCATTAATTATTTAATAATCATTTTGCCCCTCATTTAGAATTATCTACCAATCTGCCCCTCTTTAATCGATTAAGCTAAAAATTCAATCGATTAAATGGTCAAAATAAGCAAAAATCATTGACTTGAAGATTTAGTCGATTAAATCTCCCTATTTAATCGACTAAATCTACCATGCATAAGGTTATTCTTCTATAAAGAGGAAGATTTAATCGATTAAGTTGAAGATTTAATCGATTAAATCTTCATTTGACCATTTAATCAATTAAATATTCAATTTAATCAATTAAAGAGGGGCAAATTGGTAGATAGTTTGCAATCAGGGGCAAAATGGTTATTAAGTAATTAATGAGGGACAAAAGGGTGAAAAAGCGCTGATATCCAATATATACGTTCAATATATCAGTTCTATTTCATTTCCATTCTCAATCTTCTCGGTTCTTTACAGAAATGGTTGAAAATGTTTCAGCTTCAAGATACGGAGACAACTTCTGGTGAGTCTGAAGTAAAGTTTCAGGTGTCCAGGGATACATTGGGTGCTATGCTACGATCAATGGCGTATATCCGTGAACAACTATCTTATGCTGTAAGTGTCTTGTTCCTGTTATCTCATGTACTGGCTGCATAAGTTATAAAATTATTATAATTTATCTGAGGCTTCTTTTTCTTTTATGTTCTTCTACCATATATGTGTGATAGTTCTTCATCAACTGTCTAGTCCAAATTCACATCAGAGGCATTGTACTATTTGACATGACATATATCCATAAAGAGTGATTGAGAAACCTCATAACATGTCTAGTGCATTTATAGACAGAAGAAAAAGAATATTTATAATTTATTAGAAAGAGAAAAGAAATGGCACAAACAATGATGGTGATATGCTACTTTCCTTTAAAGAATGTTTTTTGTTTTCAAGAGCAAAGAAACCTAGCTCATATACCATCAGTGAAACAAAGCTCTCTAATCCCTCTGCATATCTGATAGGGAAACTCCCTTGAAGCAAACCATGTGCAGAGCACAAAAAAAGAGGCCATGATATTTTTTACTCCAAATAAATAATATGTGGGGGTACTAACACAATAGTTAAAATTTTGCTCTTCTGCCAATGCTTCTCAAGCCAATTAAATAATTGCTGAAGTTTGAAGGACACACTCGATCTTTAGAAAATATGCCAAACAAACTATTCCACAGGGAAGATGCAATTTTTTTTAACTTTTCTTTTTCTTTTGCGCGAGGGAGAGCCTTGGAGTAGTGGTAAAGTTGTTCCTTGTGAATCTTTGCAAAAATATAAGGATAAGATTGCATACAATCAACCTTCACCCTTACCTTTGCAAGTTAGGGAGCCTTGTGCACCGGGGTGAGGGGGTGTTTACTTCTTTCCTGTATGCCAAAAGAAGTTGGATTGCAATCTTTTTGCCTCCTTTCAATAGCAGTTACAATTTCTTTCAAATGCCTAACCAATTTAATTGATCATGTGAAAGGACAAATAAAAATAGCTCTGAAATAAATTTAGATGCTTAACATCAGTTTAGTTTGAGTATGAAAATTAACACGGTGGCTTGAGTTTTGTATTGTTGATAAACGAGCTAGCTTGTCATTAATATTTTTAATAAATATTGTTTTCAAAATAAAAATGAAACTAACATTCTGGCATTCGCTAGGCTCTTTGAAAGCTGTTATTTAAGATTCAAATATTTCATATTGTTGAGTCAAGTATATTGATAGATCAAATGAGAAAAAAAAAACTCGATCTAAGGCTGCAAATATTTTACAAAAGCGGGTTTCTTTTACTTGATGAGTTTTAAGAAAGTACATGTCTTGTTCGTGGAGTGAAATATTACTGATAAGGGCCTATCAAGAAAGCCACTAAGTATTTCTGGTTAAACATTTCTCGTCGAGGAATTCTCTTATAATATTGCTAGAAAGGAGTTTTTAGAATGCTTTCAGAAGATGCCAAAGGCCAAGGAGGAAGAGCAAATGTCATTAAATTAGGATCGCGATAGGAACTAAAATGTAGAAATAAGAAATAGAAGGAAAAACTGAAATGTGTATTGTTTATTGTTAGCCTTACAAACAGCAGGTACACTACTGGAATTGAAAGGAACACTTGAGGCATTGTGTGAAGCACGAGTTGAGATTTGATGTAGATCAATTCCATCAAATTTATAGAGACCACTATAGTCAAGAGTCCCTTCAAGTAAAACTTTGTGATCCCTGAGATTTGACAAGACAAACAGTAGGATGAAATTCAAAGTATACAAAGTTGTCTTTTGCAAATTAACTAACATTCACAAGGTTTTTCATAATTGAGGAAACAAGGAGGAGATTTTTGAGGTGTAATTGTTTGTGAGAATCAAGAGGTGCAGTGATATTTGATGAGCCAATGGCTGTGACTTTCAAACCTTGGCCATTTCCAATCAATATCTGATCAACACCACTCAGCTATTGACTTTGAATCAAATTTAGTGGATTGAAGGTGACATGATGTGTTGCACCAGAGTCTGGATACCACTCTAAAGCAGAAGTAGGTGTTGGTAGAATTCCATGTTGTGCAGCAACCATAGCTTGTGGTGTAGCTGGTATGTACTGAACATTTGCAGGACGAACATACTGAAAGGAGCGATCTGTTGAGGCATTGCATGCTGCTGAACCTAAGGGAAACATTGCGAATTAGAAGCATTATTAGGGGGAGGAAGAGTTAGAACAAAATTCTCATCATATCTATGCCAACAAGTTTGAACATCATGTCCAAACATGTAGCAGAGCTGACAGTAAACATTTGATCTTCCTCCACGTTCTCTTCCTCTGTTATTACGTCCTCCATAGCGTTCTCTTCCTCTGTTTGATGGAAATGAATGACTGGAATTATCAGAACCAATGTTTTGTTTCTGATCACGTAAAACAGGAGCAAATTGTTTCCATTATTATTTGTGATGCTCTGTTTTCCAAAATCTGACGCATGTTGAGTCAGATTCACGGTCACAGATTCAGAGATCATAGCTTCTGATTTGCTTCACCAACATTTGTTCATGTGTCATCAATTGAATACTCAGATCTTCAATAGAATATGCATTCTCACGTCCATGAACAGTCGTGACGAACGCAATATATTCAGCTAGTAATCCTCCAAGATTGATATCAATACGCTCTTCATTACTTACCAGACTTCCTATAGCCTTCAAGGATATCACAAATACCTTTGATACGAGAGAGATATACTTTCACTATCTTCGATCCCTTTTTGATGGAGTGTAACTCAGATTTCAACAATCTTGCCTTTGATTTCATCATTCCTTGAAATAACTAGTGTATTTTATCCCAAGCTTCATGCGAATAATTCACTCATAGAATCTCATTCATCACTGATTCTGAAATGGTTGAGAGAAGCCATGAGAGAAGCATGGAATCTTGCGTTATCCATTCGACATGATATTAAAGCTTTTGGGTTGAATTGGTTCTTTACATGGTATCAGAACTTCAGTGACCACGAGGTCACGAGTTCGATCCTCACTGCCATCACTTTCTAGTGGAATTAAATTAGCACAAGGCAAATAAAAAATTGGACCTGTGCAATATCCACGCTTCAAGCCCAAAGAGCTTTTGCGTGAGGGGGTGTGTTAGCATATAAAGGCCCTCACCCAACAGCTTAAACTTTTGAGTTGAATTGGTTCTTTACAATTATTAATGCTGCTAATTCAGCAACAACAATACAGGTTATGTTGGAAAACTGAAAAAAAAATATATTAGGTAAAAATGCAAGGAGGAAAAGATAGATTTCTAGAGCAATTTGAGAGGCTCCAAATGTCTCTCCCAATTCTGGTTTTGCAACCCAAGTGTCCAAAATTCTCTCCCAATTCTATACAATGATTCCCCACCCATTATATAGCAACTTCAGCCTCACCTCACAAAACACAACCATTACAGAAAAAGGAATATTAATAGGGATCGTAACAATAGTCCCCTCCCCCCAACCCTAAAAAAGACTTTCACCTTGTCCTCAAGGGGAAGGCTAACAATAAAAATATCTCCTCTGGGATGCCACTGTTTGAAATATAAAGACCAATTGATGCCTGAAGAATAATAACTTCTTCCACCGTGCTTGTCAAACCTTGTTGCTTTAGCACTGGTCTTACAATTTTTCTCAGCTTTGGCAGGGGAAATATCTTTCATCACATTTTCCACTCTTTCTGCAACTTCAGGTTTGGATGGGGCTAACAAGATGGAAGCAACATCAAAATCCAAAGCTTCTTCATGTTTACACAACTGTGCCAATGCTTCTGACATATAAAATGATTTATAGGAAGTATTTTTAATTTTCTGAGTAGCACAACAGTCACTTAAAGCCATATAAGCATTGTTTCTACACTTCCTATTAAGCGACAGTGTAGCACGAGTACAGGGACCCTTATGATTTACTATTGACCTAAAAGTATGACAATACCCATTCAATACTTCATTACAAGCCTCCATTACATAATAGGGTTTCTCGTCATCCATTAAATCAAAAAGCCCTTGTGCTTTGCTTTCATTACCATATTGCAAAAATGCTTTTTTCAGTAAGTTCTAAGGATCACAGTCATATAAATTCCATTATTAATGACATAGTGATACACCTAGCACCCCTAATTGAGTGGTCTCAATTTCCACCAAACAGATAACATTCCCGTAAAATGACAGTGTGTAGGCTGAAATTTGGGGCTTCCTTATAAAATTAGGCTCATAAGCCTATCCTCCAAATAAAAGTACAATTATCATTAGTTTGGATTGAAAACATTTTGGGATTAAATTGGGCCTTACCTATCGGGTCAGCAACTTGACCCAATATCCGTAAGGTCCTTCCTGACCTAATGCATTCCTTTCCCACCTTCTCACGCAGCTGCTGACTCCATCCATGGTTGCGCTTAGAGAATCCCTCTTCCCCTTTAACAAAGTTCAAGTCCGGCGGTTTTGGTACCGGAGGTGGGTTGGCGACCTCTACCATTGGGTGTGGTGTCTCACGTGTTCGCAAAACCTTAGGCAGCATCTCCATCTTCAAGGGCTCTTTTCTCTATTTTATTACGATCCTGTGTTTTGTCCGCTTCTTCCTAGCATAACGGTGAAGCTGGTGTTCATCTATTGCTACGATTTCTCCTCGATTTTTCTTCTTTTTTTGGGTACCTACCTTCTCCTCTACAACCTCGTTTTCCTTCATAATAGCCTTTGTCCTTTGCTCCTCTTCTATTGTCTCTGTCTTCTCATTTCCAAGATCGATCCAATTTGCATTTTGGGTTTTGAGGCGTCCAATTCTACATCGTCCCATCCAAGCAAATCTTAGGTTGCTATAGCTATAGAAATGCCTTTAAAAACGTCCACCAACTTGCATTTGGATTGAGCCAACTCCAGCATTTGTACCAACTGAATGCATGCCCTCTAAGCCCCCTCATTGCTTGATTCAACTTATCATCATGGATTTTCTCCGCCTGAAAATATTGTTCCAGATAGATTAACCATCCCCAAGCTTCATCATCTCATCCATAGAACATGGGAATTTCCTTTCTCCATAGCTTTCTTCTTAATAAGGCCATGGTTTATAGCTCTCTAGATCGAAGAGCTCTTATACCAATTGATAGGAACCAAAATGTAGAAATAAGAAATGGAAGGAAAAATTGAAATATGTGTATTGATTAAGGTTGGTAATTTAGCAACAACAATACAAGTTATGTTGGAAAACTGAGAAAAATACAGAGAAGAAAATCTGAGAAAAATATAGTTAAGGTAAAAATGCTAGAAGGAAAAGATAGGTTTTTGGAGCAATTCGAGAAGCTCCATATGTCTTTTCCAATTATGGTTTCCCGGCCCAAGTGTATCCAAAATTCTCCCCATCCTTTACAGTGATTCCCTACCCTCTATATAGCAACTTCAGTCTCACCTCACAAACCACACCCGTAACAATAAAAGTGAATATTATTCCCATAACTAACCACCTTCTGACTCAACACTTATCATTAGGGAGTGTAACAAATTGTTATCTGAATTTGATAATTTTGAATCAGAATAGGAAGATGAAGACAGAAGAACAAGGTGGTAGAAGATTATGGGTTTTGAACAAGCTTTTCTGTTGAGGAAACATGGCATGATTGCAAATATCAAGGAAATGTGTATCACGAATCTCATATTGATAATTTGATATTATGGCATTTTCACTCAATAATATCACATCATTGCATCATAAGATTATGTTTTGAGTTTTTGTGTCTAATCCTACACCTGGCTATGAGAATCAATCTTTACAGCATATGAGTAGCTAAAATGTCATCATGGAAAACGCATTAGCTAGCAGCAATTAGCTTATGAAAAAAACATTCTGAATAACCTAAATGGGTAATAGGTGTAACTTGAATCTCTTCTAATACATAGGTAGTGCACTTCTTCACCTTGAACTTATGTTTGCATTGAGGTTGTTTACAATCCTAGATGAAGGGGTCATATGATCATATTTTATCTACAGATATCGTGTCATGGCAAGATATTTGATTGCTAAGCTGGACAAAACAATGTCTTTTTAATAGTAAGGTATTGACCAAATTAATCATCCGTCTCTATCAAAAGAGGGCAAAACTAATTTTCAATAAAAGGGTTCGGTGTCTGTAGTTGTGTGTTACAAATATGCATTTTAATTTATTATCACTTGTTAGCGTATCCATTAGTGGCACAATTTACTTTAGTTTAACCTAAATTCTGTTTCACTATGGGGGATTGCATTTTGTTGATATTAATGCCCATTAAAATGTCAAAATTTGGCAGGGCGATGCACAGTCGGAACCTGTATTGAAAAAGCATAGGAAGTAAAGCATCAAATTTTCATTTCATACCCAGGTTGGTGTGGATATATTTTTTCTTGATGGAAGCGTGATGATCACTCAATACACAAAATGGCTTAGAAGTTGTAGTGTTTTCAGTGTGGTTAGCTTCTTTTTTAAGTTTGTTGTCTAACATATTTGTACATGTATCATATAGTAGGCAGCAGCGTTTATTTATGCAAAGCAGTTGGAATTTGCATTCCCATTCATCAAACAACCCCAAATAATGAATAGAACTGGGTTTAAAGAATTTGGCCGAAACAGGCAAATAGTGCCAAAATGGGGATAGAGTTTCAGTCAAAAAGTTATGGACGTGGTATATTATTTGGGAGGAAAGTTTCGGGCCAGTGCAATAAACCAATGTAAAACCGTTTAATGAATTGGTGATACTTCTAATTTAGGTTGTACTGGTTTAACCATTTAAACCGACTGGTTAAATGAGATGATCCCATAGGAATAATCTAATGTTAATAATAATTTTTTTTTTCGCTTCTTGTGGTTTGATCGTATTACATAGTCTTGTGTGGTTTTAAATTTGTCACAAAAATCTTGTGGTTAAATAAATTTATCACCTAGCACATAACACATTGTAAATACAAAAATATATCATTTAGGCCTGTGATGATTTTATGCATACAGATTTTTTTTTTATCTTATAAAATTATGACGTCATCAATTCAAGTCATAATAAATTTAAGTATTAAAGATTAAATTACAAATTATTTAAATTTATTTATTTTGATGATTTTACTTTAAAATTTAATATAAAATTTTTATTTATTTAAAAAATAGCTTAAAAGATAAAATATTATTTAAACAAATAATATGTATTATCTTATGTATAAAAAAACAAATGTATTATCTTTAAAAAAAATTATATTAAATTTATTTTAATTGATAATGATGTAATGAATAAAAAATATAAATAAAATAATATATGACTTAAACTTTTTTTATGATGAAAAAAAAAATAGATCTTTCAAATTTTTTTTATGATACTCAATAAATTTTAAGAAAATCTTTAAATAAATTATTAACTTTATAAAATTTTTTGATATGATTTTAAATGCTTAATTTGTAACATACTTTTAATTCATATTATTACACTAATACAGAATAAGATTTTAAGTGATATCATTAATAAATTGTAAAATAAATATTAAATTTAAATTTAAAGGACTTATTCATATAAATGAATATACTTTTGTGGAAAAAAATTCTAATTGACTTAAAAATATTTTGAAGTTAATATGCTTTTGATTTGTCATAAATAATATTTTTTAATTTTCAATATAATATATATAAATAATTTATTTATTAATTTAGCCTTTAAAATAATTTTTTAATAATTTTTAATTTAATTTTTAATATTTAATTGTGTCATAATTTGAATTTAAAATATCATAATAATATAAGATAAAAAATAAGAAATATATATATATATATATATATATATATATATATATATATATATATGACCATAAGGAGTCCAAATAATACATTTTTGTAATGATGAAATATTTTGAAATCACATGGGATTAGGAGATATACTTTTGTAACCACAATATAAAAATGTTTATGAAATATGAATTTTAAAAAATATATTAGTTGTTAATTAGTATAATTGAATGACTTAGCTGGTTTAACTAGGTTTTAGTTGGTTTAAAGCGGTAAAAAAAAAAAAAAAAGAAATAACACAATTCAAAATAAGAAATAGCAAAACGGGAATACTATTCAAAATATGGGATTTATTATTAATAAAGCGAATGTACATGTACTTCACTTTGATTTTTCTTATTGTTATCGACCTGACATAAAGACTTACATTCTAGAAGACTTAAGAAGGGCAAACAGTTAAGAGGAAAATAATGGATCAAGCATTGGACCTCCAAAAATCCATCAAAGGTCCAAAATTTCACTATTCACAGGTAAACTATATAAATAAGAGATAAAAATCTACATGTACGCACACTGAACTCTATACTCTCTTAGTTGTCACTGTGCACACATCTCACCCCTTGAGCTTTGCACAATTATTATTGTCCATAGTGATTTGCTACCTTTTGTGGACGTCTCTTCCATAGATCCTCGCGAAAGCACAACTCCAAAATATAATTACTAACCACCGGTTGGATATCCCGATCCTCTGGAATCGAACTTTGGCACTGTCTATGGGGAAACAACTTTTGCTTCATCCTTTCCACTAACCCATCCATAGAGAGTAACGTCCACTCACTTGTTTTCAACATAGAAGCTTTATTGAGAGAAAAACCTATCTTTCCTTGTGTTGGGAACCACTTTGAGGAAGGAGAAAAAGGAGGTTTTTGCTCCATTAAGACGTGGAACTTCACCTTCTTTCAACTCTTAGAGTAATAGAGGTAAGAACCCATAACTTCTGTGTTTTCATAAAGATTTTATGACCTAGGGTTTCAATAATTGGGGTTTTTGATTTATTGGTTGAAAGTTAAAATTGATAGTTATTTTATATGTTTTTGATGTTGTGGTATTGAAACTAGTGGATGTTGGGTGGAGGACCAACCATTGGGACCCTAATTGCACACATCTCACCCCATTTGGGGAATATGTTTTAGGTTCCAAGGAGGAAGGACTAGCTCAACAAGAGAAAAAAGGAGCATATTTAGCTTCTTCGAGTATTTAGAGGCATATGATGTGTTTTACGATATAGCACTTGTGTAACCATCGTGATAGAACTTGTATTTGGAGTTAAAAGCTTATAAATGTAGCATGTATAATTAGATTCAAGTTCAAATATTATGGTTTGTAACACAAGACAAGGCCAAAACATGTGCCGGGCGTGCGACCCATCAACCTACTAGCAATAAGGGAGAAAACACAGCATGTCGCAACAAAAGCTTGATTCAAGTCGTCTTTAGATAAAAAAATTAATATATATATATATATATATATATATATATATATATAAATATAAAATGCACTTATCCATGTCACTCATAAGCATTGGGCTACTCCTCCTTGTTCTTGCACAAGAGTTGTCGATGGCTCAACTTGTAATATCTCGTATGCACCCGGTGTATTGAATATATAATGGTAATAAGCGCAACTTATTTAAATGCAGAAACTAATTATTTATATTACCAACAATCATAATTCTATTATGTGACTTAACTTTTTCCTTATTAAACCTGATGTATTGCAATAATAACATCACAACGGAGGAAATGGTCATTTCGTTTGAGGAAAAAATAGCTCGGTACTGACTCAGATATGGCCGAAGAATTAGATAGATGGATCTCCCCAACCACTTAGGCTATCTGGATCCTCACAAAAAGCATCCAAACATAACAGCAGACCACTAGCAAAACTGCAGGAAACTCGACATAGAAAATTCAAAAGCCGAGTCAGAACATGAATCATGCGATACAAAAGAGAAGCCACTCAACATGAACCAAGATATGGCAGGGTCCTAGCAGCGGGTATCGGCAAATCTAACCTCGAACGTGTGGAACCAATGCACTCTATGAAAAGAATATAAAGGTTCAACGATTTCGATGATAACAAACAAGCATGGAAAGAAAGCTTCAAGGTGCAACCATAAAAAAGAGAAGTCTCTAAGTCCAAACTCAGAGTAATATACTGTAGGACTTAGGAGTATTTGTAAATTGATTCTTTACAAGAACGAAGCTCAAAGTATTTTTTGAAAAATACATGCATTAAATCATCGTTTGACATTCAAATAAATTCTTAACATGAAAACATACTTTTCAATGTTCATAAAATGTTTAAACAATATTTGAAAATGATGTGAATCAAGAGAAAACCATTTTAGGGTGAAACCAACCTTTCAACAGGTTGGTAATCGATTACCAAACAATGGTAATCGATTACCCTTCATGGTAATCGATTGCCCACTCAATGGTAATCGATTACCTACTGTACAGAGACAAAAATAATGGCTATAAAACGGCTAGTTTGCGAAAATGAGTAGGAAAAAGGCCATGGGGGCCCTCTATAAATAGAGATTATTGTTCTCATTGATGGGACACACTTTTTGATCATTATTACTCATTAATTCTCATTCTATTTGCATTATTCTTGTCTTCTTGATCATAAATTCCTTTTGAGCTTTATTCTTGTAAAAGTGTCATATACCCTTGTTCTTCAACTTGTGTTATTTGTACTTTGAGAGTACTTAGCCATTATTAAACACCTTCCTTGATTACTTGAGTAGCTAGGGGAGTGAACCCTACACACTTGAAAGGTCACCAAATTCCTAAGAAAATTTGGAGTGAAAAAGTGTAAGGCATCAAGAGCCCGAAGTCTTGAAAAGTTGTAGTGGTTTGTCAAGCACCCTCAAGCTTGATAGTTAGTGAAAAGAATTGATCGAGCGGCTTCAGTCTGGACGTAGGTCACGGTGGTGGTGACCGAACCAGGATACATCTAGTTTGCAATTTCTCTAACCTTAATCTTTTTTTTTAAGTATTAAAATTGCATCTTAGATTGTCTTTATATATTCACTTGCTTACTTTGTTGATCACTACACTTGCTTTTACTATTAGACATTTCTTTATTAAATCACTTTATTGAAGAAATAGTCTTTAAAACATCAAAGGAGGTACTTTGCGAAAAGATTTTGTAAAACTCAATTCACCCCCCCTCTTGAGTATTGAAGCTACCTGTCCAACAATTGGTATCAGAGCTTGAACTCTTGTGTAAAGAGCTTAACCGCTTCAAGAGAAAGGATGGCTTCTTTGAACCATGATATGCCCCTTGAGGGATCATCTAGTACTAGACCTCCATTTTTCAATGGCGTCGATTATTCCTATTGGAAGAGTCGGATGAAAACATTTCTTCAATCTAATGATTTAAGAGTATGGAGTGTAGTTGAAAAATGATACACACCACCTACTATAAAAAATGAGAAGGATGAAGATATTCCTAAAGATATAGATAATTACACTGAAGATGAAATTAGGAAAGGAAATTGGAATGCTAGAGCTCAAAACTTGATCACAAATGCCTTAGGTCGTGATGAATACTTTCGTGTTTCAAATTGTAAGAATGCTAAGGAAATGTGGGATATTCTTCAAATAACCCATGAAGGAACGAGTGATGTTAAATTTACAAAATTAAATGCACTCACTAGAGAATTTGAAATGTTTGAAATTCATGAGAATGAAAGTATTCAAAGTATGCAAAAGAGATTCACACACCTTGTCACTCATCTAAATGCTTTAGATAAATCTTTTACTAACCTTGAGTTAATTGCTAAGGTAATGAGAAGTGTGCACAATAGGGAATGGCAACCCAAGTTGACGGCTATTACGGAATCAAAAGATTTGAAAACCATGGACCTTGCAAACTTGTTCGGCAAGCTCCAAGAGTATGAAATGGAGCTAACTAGAATAACCTTGAAGGAACAAGCCATCAAGAAAAGCAAGGGAATTGCCTTGAAAGCCTCAACACCAAGCAAAGAGAAGGATGAGGAAAAAGAAGATGGAGATTCCGAAAATGGTCTTGACGAAGATGAGATGAGTCTTTTCGTAAAGAAGTATGGAAAATTCTTTAAGAAGAATTTTTCAAAGAAATCCGCATTTCCTCCTAGAAGAAGATCTAAAGATGAAGGATCCTCACAACTTACCATCACTTGCTTTGAATGTGGAAAAACCGGTCACTACAAATCGGATTGTCCAAATATTCAAAAGAAAGACAAATATGAAAAGAAGCAAGGCAAGGATAGAAGGAACTTCAAGAAGGCTTATCTTGCTTGGGATGATGAATCTAGTTCTTCCGATGATGACTCCAAGGAAGAAGCATTGGACCCTCGAAAATTCGCCAAAGGTCCATAATTTTAATATCCATATGTAAACTCTCTATAAATAGGAAATAAAACCTACAGGTACGCACAATGAACTCTATATTCTCTTGGTTATCACTGTGCACACACTCCACGCCCTGTGCTATATGCCATTATTATTAAGCACATTGATCTGCTACCCCTTGCGGGTTAGTCTTGCATATACTCCCGCGAGAGTACAAATCCAAAATATCAACCATCGGTTGCACATTCTGATCCTCTCGGATCGAACATTTATAAAAAAAGTGAATATATTATTTAAATAAGTGATTATTGTTTGTCCTTTTTTTATACATTGAAGTAAAGACAAAAAGCAAAGAAAAAGAAAACATAAAAAAAATTAAACAAGGAAGCTCCTAGCGAGTCTGCTCATGTCTAGCAAAAATCACACCTCTAATGTCAGCCTGAAGATGACACCATAGTCCTATAGGGGGTTCACATAAGTGAGCCTCATCAGGTGCACCAGCAGATAGTTTGCCAACCAATCTGTGAACTAGTTTCCCTCCTGAAGAACATGCATAAACTGAACATTCCATTGACGACTAACAAATTCTCATATTCAAGTCACTAAGTATGGTTCACGAGCTTCATTGACTTCCTTAGAAAATAATGCAATGACTATCTTCCTTAGAAATGTGCTTGGCGTTTTCAAAATGAAGTTAATTCTTTTTGGTCCCGTATGCTACGTGGAAAATCCAAGGTGCTGGTTGATCAAGTGCTAATCCCTAAGGCTGGATGCTCTCCTTTCTGGAAAGCAATCTGCAATATCATGCTCAATATGCAAGATAAAATAGTTTGGAAAATCGGAGACGGGGAGACAATATCCTTTTGGAAGGATAAGTGGGTTGACTCTTCTATCTGCCTCTTGGATCATGTTCAAAGCAGTATACCCAAAAATTTGAGGGACTGTCGCCTCAATCAAGTGGTTGGCCATGATGGTAAGTGCAACTACAATATGCTGCTACAACATTTCGATTCAGAGGTGGTTGAAAAGATTAAAAGTATACCCTCCAGATATGCATGATGGTCTGGATAGAAGCTTCTGGTTATTGGGTGGTTCAACAGTAGTACAGGTCAGTAATGTAAGATGCCTTTGTAGGCCATGAACATAAAAGAGGAAAAGATTAAATTTTTTATGCGGAAGAAGCAACCTTTGCCCACCCGCAATCATGTTTAACCCATGAATCATGCAATAGACATGTTAGGGTTTAAAGTAGATACTTTTATTCGGATTATTATTCCTGATCAAATGTGTTCTTGATCAATTCTTCAAACTTGAAGAACACAAGTCCTCCGATTGAAATCCACACCACCTTGTTGTCTTGTAAGAGAAGAACACTTCTTCGAATGCCCAATCTCCTTCAATGGAGGTTGCTAGACTCAAGAGAAGAATAGAGATTGGGTAGTGCCTTTGGTTATTCCAAGAGAGAGATAGCTGCCACACAGATGTGTGTGTTGGCTAAGTATTCAGTGGAGAAAATTAGAGAAGAAGAAGAGATACAAAACTAAGAAAGAAGAGGGGCTATATATAGATGTGGCGACTCATTAACCTAAGACTAGGTCAAATCAGCACCCTCATCAAATCCCAATCTTATTAGGTAATTTCCTTAATTTTATCCAATCAATCCAATTGATTGGTTTCCCCAATTTCAGCCAATTAATTTAATTAATTGATTTCCTTAATTTTATCCAATCAATCCAATTGATTGGTTTCCCAAATTTCAGTCAATTAATCTAATTAATTGATTTCCTTAATTTTGGTCAATCAATCCAATTGATTTGTTTTCCTAATTTCAGCCTTAAATTTGGTCAATCAATCCAATTGATTTGTTTCCAATCAATCCAATTGATTTGTTTCCTTTATTTTCTCCATCTTCAATAAATCTAATTTAATGACTATATTTAAATTTCAATTTCAGATTCGAAATTCAAAATTAGAATTTAAATTAATTTTATTTAAATTCAAATTTCAAATTCAAAATTCAAAATTAGAATTCAAATTAATTTTATTAATTTAATATTTAAATTAATTAGGTTACATCATGGATCAAGTCCAACTTGACTCCTGATGCCACCTACTCTCTCTTGGCCCAATATGTGGGCTTTTCCAACTTAGGCCCATTATGCCTTATTGGGCCCAAAACACATATGCTAGAATTCAAGACAACTTAAGGTGTTTGTGTGCGACCCATCAGGCCCAACATAGCCACTGACATAAATGGGCTTGGGCCCATTAGGCCCAATCTATCTAATGACAACACAGAGCATTAACAATGCTTTATTGTCCCAGAGCTAGTTGAGTTCATCGAATGATCAACCTGTTATACCTATTTGGTTACCGTGTGAATTGTCCTTTCGTCTCGGTTATCCATCCCATTGACCTAGGTCAAGGAAAATGTATCAACCCCTATGGTCTAGGGTTAGCTTTTGCCGAAACAGGGAATCTTCATTTACGGACTCTAAAGAGCGGGCCATCTCATGACTCCTTTACTATGCATAGATTCCCGAGTCTCATAAATGTCATCCCAGTTTCACTGGTTTACGGATAACCTAATCTCTTACAGAGATTGACGAATTCCTTTAGCTTGTCACACTAGTCCTGAGGACATGCCCAAGAGTATACCTATGAGTCTCCATTTTTCAGGCAGACAAGATATACAATCAAAGCAAGCCTTCCAGAGCACAGGTCTATATGACAACGTCAGGTCTAAGGAAAGACACACCCAAATAATAAGAGACATTACCTATTGATACTATCTGTGAGATTTCCTTGTAGTGTCTCTTTGTGGGTCAGTTTAGTGCGAGCTATTCACCCACGAGTCAGCTAAGACATCTCTATGTCTGCAGCTCACGAGGACTCTACCTTGCATCTCCATGCAAGTAGCTGAGTCGTGCTAGTCTTACCCGAGATAACCATTGCCCATTATCGGTATCTCTAGTCTTACCCGAGAAATTCCAGAAGAAGTCTGGACAGGTCGGAAAGCGGCCTACAATCAACTGAAAATGTTTGGATGCCGAGCTTTCGTGCATGGTGAGAGGTTGATTAAATCAACAGCTGTTTTGACGGCTTCTCCCCAGAATGATTTCGGCAATCCGGCATTGGATAACATGCTTCGGACCTTCTCTTCAATAGTTCTGTTCATCCTCTCAGCAAGTCCATTCAACTGTGGAGTCTTGGGAGGCGTCTTCTTCTCAAGTCGAATCTCGGCCGCTCTGCAGTATGCATCAAATGGGCCGCAATACTCACCACCATTATCAGATCAGACCACCTTCAATTTCTTGCCAGTCTCCCTTTCAACCATAGCATGGAATTCTTTAAAGGATTGGAGTACCTGGTCTTTAGTCTTCAACAAATATACCCACACTTTGCGGGAATGGTCATCAATAAATGAAACAAAATATTGAGCTCCTCCAAGAGATTTCTCCGACATGGAGCAAACATCAGTATGGACGAGGTCAAGAATATTCCTTCGTCTTCTTGGTTGATCCGGTCTCGCAAAGGAAACCCGGTGCTGTTTTCCAGCTAGGCAGTGCGTGCAACTCTCCAACGCTTGGCCTTTCAACCCGGTCAATAATCCTTTCTTGTTCAGGATCTGTAGCCCTTTCTCGCTCATGTGGCCGAGGCGCTTGTGCCATAGCTCCAAGCTAGGTTCATCTCGAACAAAATTGGCTTTTCCGCCATTGATTTTTCCTTGCATCACGTACAAGGAGCCTTCCTTCTTACCTCGGGCCACGACCAAGTTTCCCTTGGCCAACTTCCATCTAACACTACCAAAGTAGTTCTCTAACTCGGCATCGTCAAGTTTGCCTACCGAGATTAGGTTCAAACACATATCAGGTACATGCCTCACATCCTTCAACACAAGTCGGCATCCGACATCTGTGGTCAGAGTTACATCGCCGACACCAACAATCTTGTTGGTCACCTGATTTCCCATCTTCACGACTCCAAAATCACCACCTCGGTAAGAGGAGAAAAAACCTTTGTGTGGAGTAACGTGGAAGGAGGCACCGGAGTCAACAATCCAGGTGCAGTCATCATAAGCAACATTCAAATAATTATCCTCACCAAGGAGGAATATCTCAGCATCAGGGTTTGCAGCCACCGCAGTGGTGCTCTTGTCTTCCCTCTTCTTGGGAATAATCTGATCCGGCTTCACAGAGCCGTTCTTCTCATCATTCTGTAGGGTCCAGCAGTCTGGCTTCTTATGACCTGTCTTTTCACAGTAAAAGCACTTCAACTCATATTTCGGCTTTGACCGACCTCTGGACTTGTCTCGTCTGTCACGACCTCTACCTCGGCTTTTGCTTCTACCGCGGGAGTCGGATTTCCCTTTGTTCTCAGCAACGTTGGCCTCAGACGTACTCGAAGTACCTCGTTCTCTTCTCATGGATTTTTCGCCCAGGAGGCTGTCTGTCACGACATCCATCTTCAATTTTCCATCTGGAGTCGAGTTATTCAGGGTCACCACCAGAGTATCCCAACTTTCTGGCAGCGAGCTCAACAGCAGCAATGCCTGCAATTCTTCATCAATTTTCATATCAGCCTTTGACAGCTGATTCACAATACCTTTGTAGGTGTTCAGGTGTTCAATCATGCTCATGCCGTCCTTGTATTCAAGCTTAACAAGTCGGCGAACCAGGTGTGCTTTGTTCCTGGGAGTCTTCTTCTGAATCATGGACTCCAGCTTCGTCCACAACTCATACGCGTTCGTGAATTCGGACACGTGCTCAAAGAGGCTTTTATCAATATATTTCCTGATCGTGTCTACCGCCTTCCGACTCAGGATCTCCCACTCCTGATCAGTTTTGCCTTCCGGTCTCTCATCAAGGATAATGGGCTCATGCAGATCTTTGCAGTAGAGATGATCTTCCATCATCGGTCTCCAATAAGTGAAGTTGTCTGCGGTCAACTTGAACATATCTCCATCATGAGTTATGCCACTGGTCTCCATCTCGTCTCTCTCAGAACCCGTCGAACTCGGGCTCTGA